ACACTGTACACTGTAATCACTTTACCGTAAGGGTATAATTAAAAAAATTATACTTTACAATTTTGCGGAATGATAACTCTCATTCGTAACATATTATTTGTAACATTTCAACTTTTATTCGAATAAGGCAAGACTTCTCTATTCAGTAACTTATTGATGTAAAAATGCTACAATATTGACTGTAATACTGACTGAAATACTGTACTATACTATACTCTACTCTACTCTACTCTACTCTACTCTACTCTACTCTACTCTATTCTACTATATTATACTATACTATATTATACTGTACTATATCCTACTCTGTTATACTATATTCTACTCTACCTTACTATATTATATTGTACTATACTACACTATACTATATAATACTATACTGTACTATACTATACTATACTATATGTATTATACTATACCACACTATATACTACTCTATAATTTAGTGTATTATACTATATCCCACTCTATAATACTATATTCTACTCTACCTTACTACATTATATTATACCATACTACACTATACTATATAATACTATACTATGCTATACTCTAGTGTATTATACTATACTACACTATACTATACTATACTGACTATATTCTTTTTACTATACTTATACAGGATGTCCCATATGAAACTAACCATGCAATTTTCTCTCTGCATTGTACAAAGTTCCCCTGTTGCTCCAAAAATGTGTAGGCCCTGGGAATAGATATAATTAATTCCTAACAACGTTTCAATGACGATTCGATACCGCGGTTAACTATGCCTGTCGCACTTGCCCTCATCACGGTCACAGAAATCGCAAACTGAAGGTCGTGCTAGAGATTATTGCGCGTGTTTTCCACTGAAAACTCATTCTCTTTTTGGATTGATTCGTCCAAATTTAGGTAATTGGTCTAGTATCGGGTATCGCAACGTTCACGCGGAGTTCACGATCGAGCAGCTGTCTGGAGAAAGGCCGTGATCGTTGAAAAGTTTCGCGTTTTCTAGCTTTCAACATCGATTGCCGAATCGGCAAACGGTAATGTATCAATTATCAGCGAGACAATAATTTGGACGAATGATCAATTTAATTTGTTGCTGCGCGCGCTACGCGAATTTGTTTATTTTGAACGGCGGACCGGCAGCGAAATAATTCGCAAAACGTAACGTAATAATCAAACAATGCTCGCGTTACGAACCGTATCGAATTCGGCTAATGATGCACGGTAAACACGGCCAAAACACGATGCGAAAGCTGACTCGCGCCAGCCAGGAAAGATGTTTGTTAATGGCGATATCATTAATAAGTGACATTAAATTGCATTACGGATATCGAGTTTTACGATTATCCAGTTATAATAATTAAATTTAAAACAACGATTATTAAAATATTAACCGTTGGCTTACAGTATCGAAATGCTACGCCGGCGAGGATAAATATTTAAACGCAACGGTTATATTTTAATTCGGGCCAATTAAACCTGATTCTCAAATAATACGCGCAGTTAAATAACAAACACGTTGCGAAATCTCAGCCAAAACATTCGATCGATCTCGTTCGTCGGACGAAGCATTTCAGCCTGGAATTTTCCCTCCATTTTTAAACGATACAGAAGCTTCCCTGTTGGTGATCGATACAAGCTATCCTTTCATAACGTAAAGGAGACAAAGTACAGAGAAAACTGGCCTTGGATTACTCGTGGAAATTAATTGCCGATTGAACGTTTGCTCCTCGCTACGAGAATCACGGCGTACGTGGAAGCTTGCGAATGTTTTCTTTTCATCGGTAAACTATGGGAAATTTCATCGGCCAATTAACGAGATGCTACATTTTCAAAGTTACCCAACCGCAACTGAAATTTCCCCCGTCGCCATCGTTCACCTGCTAATTAACTATCGGATTTCCGATTGATTCGCCTGCGTTAAAAATTATTTGAAGGATATTACCTCGGTAATTAGTAATTTTCGCTCGGTACGTCCGAGCTATTTGCGAGTTCAGGTGGCTTGACCGACGTTGGCGCGAGGCTGGAGATATTCCGAGTCATCTAAATTACAAGTTTGCGCGAGAAGCGTCGTTACAAGTTGCTCGAATCTAGGTGACTTGACTAAACTAAACCTGGCTTAATTGTTGCTCGCGGAAAGTTGGAGAATAGGGCGTTACGCATTTCTTGAAGAGAATTCAAACTGAGCTTGATTCTTGTCTTCGTGAGAAGAAAACCACGGATTTATGTCGTACGATTAAATTTGTACAATTGGGCAATTTTCTTATTTAAAGAAGAACGTCCCGTCCCTTCGTACGTATAATTATAGCCCTTTCGTACAAACAATTTAAATATTTTTATAGATACCAATTTAAATATTTTTATAGAAACCAATCTGACTTGCGTCGATTTGAATTCAAATCATCTAAGATTTTAAAAGTCGAACAAACTTAATTATTAAACTTCTGCATTTAAAATTTATTTTAATTCAACATCGGGGTCGCAATCGTTTTTTTTTTTTCTATAAGATCTATAAAAAAATATAACGCTGTTATACCTAAGGTAATTTATTCTATTAATTTTAAATTAAAGCTCAAACTATTTTCTTTGATTAAAGTTTTTTAAAATTAAAATTTATTAAATTTAATAATTCTCCCAATCAAATATTAATTTTATATTAAATACAAAAATTAATTGATATAAAATTCTATAGGGTCTTATCGTCCCATTTAAATTAAAATATACAATTATGCGTAAATTTAAACAATTCTTTTATTTAAAGAACAGTTTGCAATTTAAGAAAGTAACTCGCTTATTTATCTTAATTTATATTAATTTTATATTAAATACAAAAATTAATTGATATAAAATTCTATAGGGTCTTATCGTCACATTTAAATTAACATATACAATTACGCGTAAATTTAAACAATTCTTTTATTTAAAGAACAGTTTGCAATTTAAGAAAGTAACTCGCTTATTTATCTTAATTTATATTAAATTTATATTAATGTTATATTAAATACAAAAATTAATTGATATAAAATTCTATAGGGTCTTATCGTCCCATTTAAATTAACATATACAATTACGTGTAAATTTAAACAATTCTTTTATTTGAAGAACGGTTTGCAATTTGAGAAAGTAACTCGCATACTTGCCCAAAAATGCTCGCAAGAATGAAATAAAACTCTCTATATTGTCGTCATTCAGAACGTTCTCGCATATCCTAGCCAGTCCATCCAACTGTGCGCTGGCACGTCGTAACAATTTGAAAGAGACAAAAAAATACGATTTTCGTGTTGCATTACACACGTAGAGGAAATAAGCTTCTCTGTTGCGGCAGATACTTCCGTTCGTCAGCAAAGAATATTTTCTCTGTGTACATCGAGTGTTTCGACGAAACGATGGTTCGTCAATAGCCAACTAGTTTACATTGTTGGTCCGCTCTCGGTACGAAATACGCAACGATAAACGGTGAACAGATATTAAAATGTACTTGCAGTCTCTGGATTTTCCAGCGTCAACCGTCATATTCAATAACGCGAAGTAAAATACGCGTCTACTCGTGATGGAAACGCGGCAGGATGCCGTGTAACGCGAACTAAAAACTGCGCCGCTGCCGCCATATTGGAAAATTGCTGAAAGAGACTCATTTGTGACGTGGAAACGAGCGCGTTTTTCCATTGGAAAATATATAGTTCTGCGTGAACCATTGGCGAGGAGTTGTGTTCAAAGTGATTGACGTTTCTATAGAGAGTTAATTGTGTTTTTCTTTTATCTTTTTCTTTTTTTTTACGAGAAGGAATTTATTTCAATTACGAGGAATCGATTCGTTGTTTAAGTAAGGCAATCTTCGACAGAAATAAGGAACAATATTTTTCAGCCACGATTTCAAAGATAAATTGGATCATTTACGCGTGTAATTTTCTCTTTTCTTAAAAAAACAAACTATTTATTTGGTTCTAACCTTTTGCGCTGTGTTGGTTTTGTTATAGGAATTTCTGCTGTATATTCTATAATACACCTGAGGTGTTTCATGCAGTTATTCTCAACTATTCGTTATGGAAAAGGTGTTCAGTAAAACTTGCTTTTTCTCAAGAAAATTACAAGTTTTTTTCTTTTCGAACGAATTGTTCATTTAAATGATTTCATGACGATTTCAAGGTTATTCAAGGTCGTTTCAAAAATTGAATCGTATCAATAAATAATTGTCTTATGTTTCATATTCGAAATGGTATTAGCGCTACATATCCATCTGAAAAAAGAATACATAGTTTCATTTTGGAAAACAAAACTTTCAAGTCTCGGAAGCACGCCCACCGAAAATTTCGCTCCAAAAATTTTTTTCTGTAACGAACACTTTTGAAGGTAATCGCGTGGAACCTCCATTGCAGCATGGAACTCTATCGAAGAAGACTCGCCATCAACCTGTGCTTACCTTTTGAAGGTAATCGCGCTTCAAATCACTTCGATGCAACAATTTATTACAGAGCGACACTCTGTGCGTGGACTATCTCCATTTCCTATTCGGAAAAAAATTTATCGGTTACAGAGAGTCGCTGAATCGAATCGGCACGGAATCCAGCGATACAGAGAAGCACAGTCGAATCGATCTAAACACAAAAACGCTCCGGACCTTTGAATCGTCTGTGATCAAAAAAAAAAAAAAAGAAAGAAAAAGAAAAAAAGAACGAACTCGCGCGCGTTATCGAGCCGTTGATCATTCCGCGCCGAGTTAACATCGTGCCGGTGTCTATCAATTATAAGTGAAAAAGAATGGAAAACAGACGGGCGGAAAACCGTCGACGGGCAAACGTGTTCGGTGTAAAAGGGACAAAAGTGGAAGGGAGAAGAGATCCGTGCGAGTTGTCAATTATGCGCGTCGGGTGGGGAAAAAAAAGCGCTCGCGGGCTCAAACGAAACGTGTAATTGCGCCAGAAATTCGTGACAATTTACGCCAATTAGCTGATCATCGATTTTCGTCCAGCCACGTCGTCGACGTTAACGCCACTCTTTTTCTGTTTTTGCAGAAGAATCGACTGTAATCGGATGTACTACACTAGCTGGAGCGCTCGTTCGTTTCGAGGTTATGCATCGTAAGGTGAGTGACTTTCCGGAAATTTCCGATCCTAATTTAGAGGTGACTTTTAATTTCGTTCTTTTTCTTAGCTATATATATATATATATTTTTTTTTTTGTTAGTTTTCTCGAAAATTTCTCTTTCTGGGAAATTCGCTCGTAGCTCGCGCAATTTCGTTTCTTCTCTTCCTCCGTTGATTCCGTTAAACAGTAACGCGATTTACTCTTACGTAAGGGTGCAACGTCTGGCTCTTCAGGTTCTTCAGGGCGGCTTTCCCAGTTTCACCCGCGGGAATAAATATTCCATTCGTGCACTCTCTCTCTCTCTCTCTCTCTCTCTCTCTCTCTCTCTGTCGGGGTTCACTGTCAATTCGGCGGCCCCTCAAACAATATTTATTTAGCCGATATCGATTTCGTTGGCATGATATTGGTTTCCCGTGCCCGTTGCTTGTACTCTCCCCTTCTCCCTTTCTCTCCCTTTCCGGCCCTTCTCCGTTCCGGTATTTTCCCTAAACCTCTTGCTCCCCGCGTTTTCGTTTTCAACCGTTTCCACCGCCGGTTATTTCTTGCGCGGCCGAAATCAAAAATCGCGCGCCAGCTTGCGGGCAAACTAATTGATAAACGTCCGGATCGTCGCGTGGAAAAACGCTTGTTAGCTTTATATTTTATGTAAATAAATAAATATTCACGTGTACACCTATTTTCACGAGGCGATAATGAGAATTTGTCACGGGAGGGAAAAAAGTGACGTCGAGGGAAATAAAAATAGAGAGAGAAAAAATAGGGAAAGGAAGGGGGGAAGCAAGATGGAAGCGTCGTGCAGTGGCGAGGAAGGGATGAAAGCTGTTTCCGCGTGCACAATGCTATTTCCGACACAATGATGGATTCAATTTTCGATAGAAATACATTCGACTCGATGGCTACAATATTATCTTCCGGAACTGATACCGTATGAAAGAAACCTCGAAATAGACTCCAGTTGCTTATCTCTCCGTTTCCATCCGGGGAACGGAATTATTTCGAGACGATCTCCACACGCCTGGAATTAACACGACGATTATCTTTGAAAATAAGATCTTTCTTTCTTTTTTCCCAGAGCGTTGCGAAACTCTTTCGCAATGCGACGAGCGTGTTTGTTCGAAGCGTTAACGCGTGATTGTGCCGCGTGCATTGCCGCGTGCAGAACGGATTAATTATTCCGCGTATTAGAATCGTGCCGATGTAAATTCCAGCGTGCAAATATTCCTCTAAAATGGTAAATGTTGACTCGGGTAAATTTGAATACGAAGTCGACGCAGCCCCGTCACGCGTGAATTCGCCGTTGATTTTGTTCTTACGAAATTATGAGATATATAAACGGTTACGGCGGAATTACCAAGTGAAATCGAAGGGAATTGAAGTCGAAGATCACGCCCGAGAGAGCGGCGATTTGACTCACAAATGCCGATTGTAGGGAGTTAAACGTTTAACTGCGAGAAACCGAAGTTTCTCCTGAAAATTTAACCTTAACTTGTTGTTTATTCAACACTTAACAACACGATTGCCTTGCGCTGTACTTCTCGAACGTCTCGATCGTCCGATCCTGACACTCCAATCTGTCAATCTAGTAATCGATACGATTTCACGGTCTTCTCGATGGATCGCGCGTTATAAAATTTGTCTGTCGAATTATCAATTAACCATCAAGTACACGCGATCGCGATTGCGTCAAAAATTCGCCCGTGGCTCCCGGGTGGTTGTCATCTCGATTTTAATAGCTGTGGCGGCCCGTTATCGCCGTTGACACGCGAATAACGACCACGGGGTTAGCAGTTTTAATTAACGATATTAACGCATCCCGTCGCGAGCCGCGTGCACTCGTGAGTCATAATACACGCAGCGTGGGGCCGGTGGAGCTCATTTTTGCGTCCCGATAACGTCGAAACGCGAGAACACGCCGCGCCGCGCTATTTGTCCCGCTTTGTGTGTCCACCGTGTAGAGATGTCGGCCGATAGGCAATCAGAAACTTTGGGAATTAATCTGACCGAGATGATATCCCGTGCGTGACACAGGATTTTTAACAGCAAGTTTCCACGGTTCCAACCATGCTGCCAGTTTGATCAGTGCCAACGAATTGCACCGTATTGAAGCGACGACCGATCGATTTGCTCGAGGGTGGCTCAGCTTACAGATCGATTATAGAGCGGGTAACGACGAGTTGTGTCTGCCGACGAAACAACGGCAGTCGGATGAACGCGAAACAACGACACGTCGGATAGGCGGGATCACGCGAATCTCCAACCGACGATTTTGAAAATCGACAGCGACAACGACGCGCTTCGTCGCTCGTTTTTGCCTAGCGATCGCCGGCAAAGGCTCTGTTTTGAAACACTTGGCGCTGGCAATCGATTGCGGACCGTAACGAGTGACCACGCCACATGCAACAATTCGTCGCTTTCTTTTTGAAACTCGTCGGTATGATATCGCCGGACAGAAATTATCGAGATGTGATAAATTTATTATTTGTTTTGCCTTATTATTATATTTCGTTTCACTTAAATATACTTAAAACTGAGGAGATATTACAATTTTTGGGAGAAGAAATTCTCGGCGTACGTCATTCCAGCGCAAGTGGTTAATTATAGCCGTGGGTGAACTTTAAAGACGCGAAAATATTGAACGTACGTAAAGACTCATACTTTGAACGTTCACGTTTGTGTCTTGCGTGATCACGTTTGACGAGCGATGCGTGAGAAATTTGCATGGCTGCAAATTGGAGCCTCTCGACAATCGGACGACATGAGCTAATTAACCGAGGAGCGTGCACCGCGAGGACTTGGAAGGTTACTATCGTTTATCAAATTAAAACACCGATATCGTGCCACCGGCGGCGAACGACACAGACGTAATTTTTCATCGCGAGCGGGTCATCGTCGTAATGACACGGAGGCGCGACCTCGATACGTTGCTCGACGACGAAGCGACGGAGCATTTGCATAACGATCGCCGCCGTGGGAAGCCAAACCGTGCATCGTAAATAGCCAAAGCGGCTCACGACGCTGGTCCAGACGCGATGTGGGACAATATCGACCAAGTGCGCGCTAATTGTCCAGAACGAAGTTAGCGTAATGGGGGAGAAGAGGGCGAGTTTAGTTCGAAAAAGTGCTTTAAGAATGTTTAGAGTAATTTCGAACACGACTGCTTACGATATACAGGGTGTCCCAGCGTTGATAGTACATGTGATTCTACGTGAAAAGGCAAGTCGAAAATAAAGAATAAGATTTGTTCGTTTGAGGCTTTGTTTTCGAGAAAATCGAAATATTTTGCTATTATATATTATTATAATATATAATATATAATATTATTATTATAATATATAATATATAATATTATTATTATAATATATAATATATAATATTATTATTATAATATATAATATATAATATAATAATAAAATAATAGTATAAAAATATATATTGTGAATAATAATAATAATATATAATAAAATAATAATATAATAAAACTAATTAAATAATTAAATAATAAAATAATAAAATTAAATTAATTAAATAACTAATTAAATAATTAAATAATAAAAATATTTTGATATTATTATATTATTATGTTATTATTATATTATCCTCCGAACACGAATGCAGATTTACAAACAGTATTAGTAATATCACTCATAATGTTGATTAGTTGTTAATACCTATTTACTTAGAGTGAGTTTAGAAGTGATTTTCAACTTATTTATGTAGAATCACCTCCATTTTATATTGTTCTACCGACCAGGGCTGGCACATCCTGTATATATATCGTAACTTTCTGGCTATTTACATTGCCAGTCGGTCCGCTCGCGAACCGTTCGAGCAAATTGAAGGAACACTCGATGAACTTATCGAATAAGTCCTCACGACTTGACCGTCGTTCGTGAAAATGGAGTTGCTTGTATTTCTGCCTGGAAGGTCCCGCAAGAATCTGACCAACGGAACAGCTCCTGGGAATTTTGTGTCCAACCGCGACAAACGACTCAACGTTATGTCGTTCCAGCGCCGCCGGAACTAACGAGTTTAACGTAACACCGCGGGTTTTTATGGAAATTTGTGTGTGTTTTTTTAAAGGTAAAATTAAAGAAATGGAATCTTGATAGAAAATTGTAGCAAATATATCGTAGAGAGTTTTTGGATATTTTACATGTTTCATCAGATTGTGTGCATTCTTTTGGAATTTTGCAGTTTAAAGTTTCCCATAAATGCGCTAAACTTCGTGGTCTAACTTTGGTAATAACTTTATCGAAAATTTAATATTTTCTTTGGACGTTGTGTATTGTCTTTTAACGCTAGAACTACCGAAGCGGTCAAAGTGAGTAATTCATAATCTCTGTTAAATATATTATAGATGTAAAACAGTGTGTTTTTAGAGATTTAAACGATTTTCTTTATAAAACACAGAAATAAATGCGTTACAGTCTTTTATTTATTTCACTTTAACATCGATGAAAATTCTATGCTTTAATCCTCGGTAGTTCTAGTGTTAATATATTAAGGATACCCATAAGCAATTTCGTTTTTTGATACTGTATGAAATTTTACTTTATTCAAAAGTTAATACAGTTTTAATCTATAATATAATTTTAAACAATAAACATACTAAATGTCAATATATTCAACTATATAGAATATAGGTAAATTATGATAATTTACTCTATTATTTATTAAATTTGAAAAATCGACATTACTAATAGTTTCACAAAAATATTCTTGAGTACTTAATAATTATTTTATTTATATATATATATATATATAATTTTATAAAAATACTCTAACGTAGAAATGTGAAAAGCATTATGATTTCACCGTCATCTCGCAACTACTTCCTTTTTTTTTAGAAATAAATAAAAAAACTCTCTCCGGCCTGAAAGTTAAGAACGTTTGAAGGATGAATTTCATTTGTGGAAAGGAATTTTTGACGATACGCTGGACTTTCCATTTTTAAACGGGGGCGTTAAACGTCACGCGTCGTTCTATCAATCGTGCTTC